AATTTGCAAATTCCATAACTGTTGGGGAAACACAAGACAGTAAGAAAAAAAAAAATAAGAAAAACATTGGCCATGTGGATTCTCCTGTCACTTCAAGGGATTATGTTTTTTTCCCCTTTAACGGTGGTTCCCGAAACAGCCAGCATAGGCCACTTCTTCTATATTCTTTCATTGCAACATCAAGAAAAAACTTGGTTAAACACCAAGATCTCTAGTTCTTTGTTCTACCTCAATTCCTACAAGTCTTCCAAATTAGTTTTAAAACAGTATTTCTGTTCATTGATAACCTTTACATAACAATGTAGTTTATTGTTTATATAATGTTGACAATATTATCAATACTTTTGCAGGTTTTGAATTTTACTGTTTTTTGCTTCTTATACTACTGTCCAGTTTGACTTTCATAAACAGTCTTTTTGCAAATGCATTGTTTATAACAAGGAAAAAATTTTTTTTTTCTGACTAAAGGTAATATTTAAAGTACTGTATAGAGAAAAATACTGTATGCTTGTCTCCTGTAAAAATATACATATGTATCTGAGTGTGAACACAAATACTGTTTTCTGTATCAGTTCAGTTATTAATAGAAAGAGAAGCAGATGGTATTTCAGGTAATTCAGGCTCTGTTCTGATTTTAGCCAAGTGGAATAACTTGGCCGGTATTTAGAGGGCTTCCAAGTTCTCTTCAGAAATAATTTCTGGTTTTCTGATTGTGTTTAAAACAAAATTAGAGGGTTACTTTATAGAGGACATGAATATAGAACAGTACGTGTATTGGCCTTTAATACTCAGCGGTAAGAAAATGAGCTTTTTATCAAAAGAAACTTCTGAATAAATACAGAGCTTAATGAATTTTTGGTATAACGTATGCATCTCAGTCTAGCTCCATAAAAGAAGGGAATGTGGATAATGCTTTAATTGCCAAGATACCAGCCTTTTTTTTAAAGAAAGATGAATGGATTGCTGAGACTGCCTGAGTTACCTTTACTGCAGCAGTCAGATCGGATGAGTACACTTGGGTTACCCGAGACTGAGAAGAGCTGTGTTTTGAAGCGGTGATTGCTGCAGGCCAGAGCTGGCTTAACAGCTGAAATGGCCCGTTCCTCCTTCCCCGCTGTCCGTGTGTTCATTAGCTTCAACTTTCACTTGACAGACTAGCTGTTTTGAACCTCCTCTCATTTAGCTGGTGGTCGGTATTGCTAGCTTGAGGCACGAGTTTAAAATCTGGCCCCAGTCTGACTTCTGCCTAGCAGCAAAGGTTATGAAATGGATGTGATGAATGGGTGATCTTTCAGGAAAATATTGAACTCCTTCATATTCACACCGTCTACCTATGAGCCCATGGAGTTTGGCGTGGAGTTTGTTACAGTTACAAATAAACCCCTTGGACCCAAACACTGAGTGCATCTTTTTCCGGGGTATATTTGTGGGTTATGAATAGGAGTTGCAGCCTGCTAGTTAGTCGTACTTCAGTGCTTGCCTCTACTTGTGTGTTGGAGCCAGGAAGGTGAAGCTACACTGTTGGTGCTAAAAGGTTTTTTTGTTTGGTTTTTTTTGGTAAGATTTTTAAAGAGTATGTATAATTGTATGCATGTGATTTTAAGTTACCTGTGAAATACTAAAGAACTTGGTGGTGATTTATACAATGTGAAATATGTTGAAATCTTAAATGTGTACGAAGGTAGTTTTCAAAATACAGCCTAACTTGGCAGCAATAGAATCATGATATGCATGTTGTATTAAATATTTTATATTAGATGTATGTCAGCAGTATCAGAACTGCTATGCTTCTAACTTTTATAGGTGAAGGTAGACACCTGTATACTGATATTAAGCAAATTTAATACATATATTTTTCCAATTATTTTAGTTAATACACCAGTTAACTAGTATTCTGCAGTAGCATGACATGTACTTGTTGATTTATAGACTACTAGTTTTATTTTTTCAGAAAAAGTTTAATGTTTTAACTAGTTGTATGAAACAGTTACAAGAAAAAAGCATGTATTTAGTTTACAACAGGTTATGCCCATTTAAAAAAAACAGTGTACACAGGGGCGTGTGTGTCTATATGGGAGTCATATAGTGCTAAATATTATGTAAATTTTTCTGTACAGATGTAAATTGTATACAATATGGCTTAATGGACTATACATTTGTGACTGCTAGAAGGCTAGCTAGACTTCTAGTTCAAATATGTTTGGAAAAAAGTATACCACTTTCAATGATGTCTTGCTATTTAGTTCAAATAACACTGTAATTTTAGAAAAATTACTTTTTCACTGTTTGACTTTGTTAACTTGAAAATATTTCTGCTAACTTCAGATGCTGGAAGGTTGTGCTTAATTATTTTTAATAGGAGAAAGTATGTCTTATCCAATGTTGTGTAAAGTTGTAGCAACACAGGGTGATTTGTTACATCATTCGTGCTTTGTGCTATCAATTTGTTTGAAGCTAATATTTTATTAATTGAACTACTGTTTTCTTTTAGCTGACAGCACGATCGCTGCCTTCCATACAGTCTGACGAGAGACTACAACCTCTGCTTAATCATCTCAGGTAGCATAAACTGGAAGCATGAGGGTATTCTTTCATACAGATTAAAATAATTGTATTAGAATGTTTTAGCTAAATTTTTTTTCAGACACCTCATCTGTGCAATGGGCTTTGACTGGAAAAAAAAACCTGAAAGCATTCTTTCAACTTAACAAAAGCTTTGTAAATGACATGGAACAATTTACAGAGCTGGTGTTGCTTCTAAGTAACAAGAAAATATTTGTAGCTTTTATAAAAACTTTTTTTTACAGTAAGTACAAAATTGTTAAGCTTCTTTACGAACAAAACATTCCAAATTACACTGCTCAGAGTATGGGCCTTCTTTGTTGCAAATATTTTATGCTCTATGATCTTTTTGGAAGATTTCTCTGTCACTGTCATTGATGAATGGAGTCCTATTTTCTTCTTTTAATGGACCTAAGGAGAGAGCTGAAAATGTGAACCATTAACAGTGCTCTACAACACAGCTGAAATAGTCTGCCTCTCTCTTAGTAGTATACAGTATATAGAAGCTTTCTACTTTCTTTGAATGTGTTCGGGGATGAAGAGTAAGAAAAAATACTTTCCTGATGTTCTGCAGGTTAAGCATCGGTCTGGTCTCTTATATACATGATTGCTTTTTTCCATTTGATACTGTTTGGGAGAGTTTTTTTACTACGGTATTATGCAGGAGGACAAAGACCATACAATTAGAGGGAGATGCATTGGCTTAGAATCATTGAATAATTTAGCTTGGAGTGAACCTCTGGAGATCATTTAATCTAGCCCCTGCTCAATGCATATCTGGTTAGATTGGGTTGCTCTGGTATTTATTCAGTTGAATTTTTAATATCTCGAAGGGTAGAAATTTACTTAAATATTGAATGTCAGTAATGAAAGCTCTGTTTTTGAACACATACAGCTTTGCATTAAGATCACTGAAATGATGCTGGATGAATTAGAAATGGAAGTGGTGAGGCTCCATCATGACAGCACTGCACCGGAATTAGCATGCAGATCTAGTTAGCATGCTCTTTATTTCCTATGGTGCTCTACTGCTCGAGGTATCTGTACCCAAAATCTGACATTTTATTTTGATTTAAAAAAAAATTCTCGTAATTTTTATTACATAGGAACAGTTTCATGTTTTATTGCTTTCAGTGTAAATCAGAATAGGAAAAATAGCTTTCATTGTATCTGCTTATTTACATATGATTGAACTTTGTTCAAGAGCAATGAATGAAATAAATATTGCAGTATAACTGTTATGTAGCTGGTTAGGGGATACTTCTGAATGCCAATAACCTTCCATGTTTTTATTACCGTACATCTTACTGGGATTTTAAAAAGTACGCCCCAGTGGCATACTTTTCTCCATTTGAAGCTAAAGAGCAATTAGGTTAGCTTTTTATAAACTGTACTCTCTAGGAGTAATTACTGAGAAATTTGAAATTTCTTTTGATATATGCTATGCATCTATGTAAGTGGAACAGCTTTCATATCACAGCAATCACAATCCTCTCTGTGATTTCCTTTTCCCATATTTAAAAAAAAAAAGGTTGCAAAAAAAGCTAGTTTAACATCAGCTACTTTCACAAGGATACTGTATCCTACATTTATGCAAAAAGGTATTTTTTGCACATTCTTATGTTAACTTGGGTATGTATGTTTAACGACTGGTAAGTTACTTCCATTTTGCTTTTGCGAAAATGGAGGGGCTGTTCCCACTACATTTTGTCACCAATTGAAAAAACTACACAAATGCTTCTGAGTTGCCTTTTTGGAAGTTTGTTTACAATAGACAAAATACATCAAACCTTACAACTTGAAAAACAAGCTCTGGCAGTGAACAGACAGATGACCAAATAGGTCTTCTCTGTTACTTATTTCTGTGAATTTGTGATTCATTTTTGCTTCATCTTGCTCACAAGAAAGGAGAATATTAGTTAGTTGTAGGCTTTCCTCTACCTTCATTGTGTGAATTCTTACAGCAGTATTTTATTTTTGGCATATGTCAATAGAGCTTTATCGGGGGGCAAAAGCTTAGATAGAAACGTGTGAAAAGAGCATACAATTGAAGGTTACAGAGCGTTGTTTGATTGTTAATGCGCCACACATTTTTTGGCAGGTATTCATGTCTGCTTGTAACTTCTAAATTAGCTAGTCCTCAGAAAAGGTTGTTTTACTGTGGATTATGTCTGCATAGATATTTTAATCCATGCCCATTTTTTTAAATGGACATAATGTATTTTGTAATTGGACTGTTCTGGACTAAACATGTATTTTATCTGTGACTTCGGTCCTCTTTTTGTCCTATTCCATTTCATTGGTGCTTTCTAATATTAATTGTACTAGATGAAAAAAAGAGAATGTTTTTAGTTTAAAATTTTAAAATATTTGATGCAAGATTGTGCTTAGGGATTTCACATGCTCACAGTAGGCTACAAGGAGATTTAAATTGCTAAAACTTCGGCAATTTAATAGAAATGGAAACTTTATGTCTAAATGCATGAGAAGAACACTTCTGCAACTCCTGCTTTCAAAGGAGTTTATATGGGTTTTGTGATTAAATTTCAGGGTCGTAACACTCTGCTGTTTAAAATCTTCAGCAGGAATAATTTCAAAGATAGACAAAAACTGTCGTATGTAATCCCATCAAACTACTATAGGACTGTGCCTGTACATGAATTATAAGGAGAAGCTGAGCTGACTTTGTTTAATCTGGTGAAGAGGAGGCTTATGGATGATTAAATAGCAGCCTACAACTGTTTGAAGGACAAACATCGTGGCATTGGAACTCTTGATGGTGCCAGAGGATGTAACAAATGACAGTGGTCACATAGAGCAGCTTGGGAGGTTTAGATCAGATATTAGGAAAAATGTCTATGCTAGAATGATAGTGCAGCAGATTGCCCAAAGATGTGGAATCTTGGTTCGTGGAGATTTTTAGGATTCAGCTAGAAAAAGCCATGGCTCACCTGACTAATGTTGGCAGCAGTCCCACTTAAAGTGAGGTGTGGGACTAAATGGTCTTCTAACGTCCTTTACAACCAACATTTATATGATTCTATTAATTCTGTCTTCAAATGATAGTTCATAAGGTTGATACAGAAACCAAGTGTTTTGCAAGACTGGATTTTTTTAATGGATAACACAATACTCATGCAGACATGTTCACCCTCCTTCTCACTTATGCTCATCTCACAAGCAAGTAAAGAAGAATGTACGCCTTAATAGGTTGGTGTCATTTACTATCCTCAACATCTACAAAGTGCCCTTCATATCCTCACTAAATCTCATGATATACTAACACATCTGTGAATAATACAATATTTATCACAAAGGTCCTACAGCTGGTTATTTGAAAGACATAGATCCCATTCTTGGAGACATTGATGTAGTGGAGGTTTCTTCTTGGTCAACGGCAGTGCGAATGTATGTATTGATCTTTAATTGCAAGATACGTTTAGAAAACTTTCGGTAACTAAGATTTTGGATTGTAGAAAAACAGGTTTTGAGTGATTTGAGAGAGACAGGAACTTATATATGAAGGTAAAATAAAACTGGTTTATAAGTGAAAAGTGAAGACATTGTTGCTTGCATTCCAGTAAACCACAAAAAGAAATTATGAAGAACTATAGATATTTCTAGGTGAGTAAGAAGCTTGATCAGGAAGTAACCTCAGAAGCTATGTGGAATAAAAGAAAGGATGAGTCCAAAACAAGAGCTAAAACTGGAAGCAAAAAATAGGAGAAGAAAGCGAGGGTGATCACAAGCCTGGTTGGTTTGTGTTGTAATGTGTTTTCAAACCAATAGTAGGAAGCTGTTTGGCAAGAAAAAAGGAGGACCATTGTTCATAGCAAAGGATAGGTGGAATAAAAGAAAGGATGAGTCCAAAACAAGAGCTAAAACTGGAAGCAAAAAATAGGAGAAGAAAGCGAGGGTGATCACAAGCCTGGTTGGTTTGTGTTGTAATGTGTTTTCAAACCAATAGTAGGAAGCTGTTTGGCAAGAAAAAAGGAGGACCATTGTTCATAGAACAAAGGATAGTCTTAATATTTTTTTTTCAAGGTTGTTGAGATTTTTTTAATAGAAATGTAGAGAAAATAATGGCAATCAGTGGAGAAAGCAGTGTGATTTTTCTTGTGATGAAATCAAGGGAGCTGGAGAATCTCTTAACATAGAAGATCAGAAGACCTGGCACCTAAAATTGCCCACCCAAAAGCTCTAGTCCCTTGAGCTCCTTGGGACAGGTATCCAACAGCTTAGCTGCCAAAGGCCACATGACTAGTGCTGGCCTCTTTATGCCAGCATTGGCCATGCACATTAGCGCCAATCTACCACATGTTCTGGATGGATAAAGCATACTCTTCTTCAGAGCACCACCTTTGAAGGCAGTTTGTAGGGTTCAGCTGTTTGGTGAGTGATGTCAGGTATCAAGAAACTTCGACCTTGCAAAGGTCATATGCTACTTTTTAATGTAAAAATAAGGAAACATTTATGAAAAACTTTTCCTGTTTGCTTACCATGCTGAGAATATTTGAGCTTTTGAGAGTCTGAAAAGTAGAATTTCTTCTTCTCTACCTCACCTCCCCACCCCCGGCATTGAGTTTTCTGTCTTTGCAGTAAAGTTTTCTACCAAGTCCAGATGTAATGGTCAGCAAGATTCAGAGAGTATGTCCTCTTTTTAGCAGTAACTTCTGAAGTCTTATTTTGTTCACTTACTGTACAGGAAAACTCTTGTGTCTTCTCTTTGGACCTCCTCTTCCCAGGCCTTTCTACAGATGCTAGGAAGAAGTGGTTTTCTTTAGCTTAGCAATTTTTTTCAGTATTGGTATGATTCTAATAAATACTATAGGATACAAGCAGATGATCTAAAGTGATTATGGTAGAGCAGCTTAAGAAGTTACCAGCACTCATTCTGGAATGTGATAACTGACTGAATGGTCATTTTCCTAATTGGTTGTTTTACAAAAAAAAAAGTTGTTGCCTAAGCAACAGCTGTTTTCTGTTGTTCTATGCTTCGATTGCAGTATTTTTGGGACTGTGATTTTTGTTTTGTTTGCAGTTTGCCTAAGTAAAGTGATGCAGATCTGGTTCTACAAGGAGATTTAGATTCTTTAGTAGAGTCAGTAGTAGTAGACATACACAGCTCAAATAGTTTTAATTATTTATCCATTGTTGTGTAATAGAAAAAAAATCTATTCAGTACAGTAAGCTCGCCTAGTGCTCCAGTGTGTGCCAGAAATAAGAACTAAAGAATGAATGAATGCACGTATAAGTAAACAAACTATTTGTACTGTAATAAAATAAACTCTTAGCTGTATGCTTTTCACACTTTACAGTATTGAAATATCACAAAATAATCTGTAGCACCTAGTATCATCATTTAGCTAAATTCCTTTTTTCTGGAGTTAATCTCTATATGCCTTCAAAAGATTTAAGAAATTATCTTTGTAAGTTAGTTGCAAAATCCCTCTTGCACAAAGAAATTTGTTCTTACCCAGACTTTGCAACCTGATTTTTGGACCAATATACCGTATCCAAAACCCCTGTTTGCTTTATTGCCTGCTGTACTGTCAACTCTTGAGTTTGGTTGAGTTCTGCTTAAAGCATTGCTCTTGGCCTATTCTGCAGCCCTGCATATATTCTCATTCAAGAAGTCTATATATTTAACAGTAAAAGCTGGGCATTAGATGCTTGTATTTGATTTGAAATTACTTTGGTGACAATGTCTACGTGACTGTCTCTGCTGTAGTATAGGGTTACCTGAACTTAGCTCAGGTATCAGAATTAGCTTCGTTGCAGTATGAATGAAAGATGAGGCAGCACACGCAAAGTCCTGTGCTATTTTGGCTAGACAGCTACTGTCAGGAGTTAACATGTGTTTGTATGTTAGTACTGCAGTAAAAGCCTTCCCAGCTTTTTATTGGTACACTTAAGTAGTTTTTGAGTTTTTACTTTTCCTCCACGGTAGAGGAAGAATCACTAGGTCATAGTGATACATCAGGTTTTTTGTCTGTTTGTTTGTGTTTTTAAAATACTACACAAGTAGCAAAGTAGAAGAGGTTCTTGATTACTGGAAGAAAGCAAAAGTGAACCCTGCCTTCACAAAGAGTAAGGAGAAGAATCCATGGAACTATAGGCTGGTCAGCCTCATCTCAGTTCCAGACATATGAAGGACAAGAAGATGATCATGGGTGGTCAGCATGGATTTGTGAATGGGAAATTATGCTTGACGAACCTCATAGCTGGTCATTTTATCATAGAAGGCTCAACAGATGGGGGGAAGGCAGTGGATGTTGTTTATCTTGACTTTAGCAAGGTTTTTGACACTGTTTCTTTTAACATCCTCATCGACAACTGATGAAGTATGGGCTAGGTAAACGGGCAGTGAGGTGGACTGAAAACTGGCTGAAGTGCTGTGCTCAAAGGTTTGTGATCAGAGGCATTAAGACCAGCTGGAGGCCAATCACTAGCGGCGTACCTCAGGGATTGATACTGGGTCCTATATTGTTTAGCTTCTTCTTTAATGTCTGAGGTGATGGGACAGAGTGTGCACTCAGCAAGTCTCAAATGATACAAAACTGGGAGGAATGGTTTACACCAGATGGGTGTGCTGCCTTTCAGGTGGACTTGGACAGTCTGAAGAAATGGGCTGACAGGAACCCTGTGAAGTCCAACAAAGGGAAATACCAAGCTTTGCATCTGAGGAGGAATAACCCCATGTACCACTATAGGCTGAGGGCTGAACAGCTGTGAAACAGGGTTGCAGAAGAGGACCTTGGGGTCCTGGTGGACAGCAAGCTAACTTTGAGTGTACCCTTGAAGCAAAGAAAGCTAACAGTCTCTTGGGTGGCACTAGGAAGAGCACTCCCAGCAGGTCGAGGGCGGTGATCTTTCCCCTCTACTCAGCCAGGTGAGGCCACATCTGGAGGGCTCTGTCCGATCCTGGGCTCCCCAGTACATATGAGGAGAGGCTGAGAGAGCTGAGACTGTTCAGCGTGGAGGAGAAATTTCAGGAGGGTGAGTGTGTGAATCTTACCAGGACTTATAAATAGGTGTCTGATAAGGGGGAGTAAAGAAGACAGAGCGAGACTCTTCTCAGTGGTATCCAGTGATAGGCCAGGAAGCAATGGGCATAAACTGATATACAGGAAATTCCACTTAAACATAAGAAAACACTTTTCTACTGCCAGGGTGGTCAAACACTGGAACAGGTTCCTCAGAAGGTTATGGAGTCTCTGTCCTTGGAGATGCTCGAAACTCAGCTTGATGAGATGCTAAGCAACCTGCTGTAGTTAACTCTGTTTTGAGCAGGGGCTTGGACTAGATGATCTTCAGAGGTCTCTCTCAACCTCAACAGTAGCGTGATCCTATGATCTGAATTCTGAATGACCCTTCACCACTTCTTTCAGATAAAGGGAGGGAGGGTTTCTTTACCATGTTGACTCTAACGTTGGTTTTATAAATCTTAATCACTTACATAACTGTCAAATACATTCTTAGTTTTGCCTGATAGAAAATATTTGCGGACCTTAATTGGTAAAATAATTTCTAAATTTGTAAAACATTTTTTTTGAACAGTTTTAAATGATGCTGTACTGTTTGCTTTGTTTTTCAGCCATTCTTACATTGGCCCAGATTACAGCGTGCAAAAGAACACTGGAAAAATTTCTCTAGAACAGATCGATACTGTAAGTCCTCTGTGTTTATTGGGTTATATTGTATGCTGATAACGTAACATTTTAAATTCAATTACTCTATGTACAGACAACATATAAAGGCTTTATCTTTTTTTGATTCATATTTGCTTTGTAACTCTTAAGAATTACTTGAATGAAATTGTGATAAAGTTTAAAATGGAGCAGAATTAACTGAAAATGCATCTAATCAGGATTTAGACTGGAGCTATAATGAATTGCTTAATTTGCTGCTTAAGTTTGTGTACTTTCACAAATACCTAACATAATTATAAAGAGTTTAACAAAATTTTCTCATTTAATAATTTTGCAAGCCATGATGTTTAGTTTATGATTATTGCATTGCGATATTAGTCTTTTCAATGCTCTTTTTTTGACTTTTGACTTACAGACGAGTATTTCAAAACAAGGAAGTAAATAAAATGGATTGTAAAACCGCATCAATGGTGCAGAGACAATTAAAAACACATTAAAATTCCTTTATCTGAACTTCAGAAAGAGTTTGTGTTTTCAGTGTCCATCTTAACCATAACAGTGTTCCTTTGGTAGTGAATTTCATGGCATAACTCAGATGTTAAAAATAAAAATGCAAAGCCCAAGTAAGCTTGAATGTTACATTTTTTTATCTCCGAGATCTTGCTTTGTAAGAAATAGTATTCTTCAGGGGAAAAAACCTGCAGATCAGTTGCGATGGATTTTACTCCTGCTTGTAGTTTTTCAAAGACGGTTTAAAAAAGCCATCCCCTCCTCCAACCCCCCAAAACTCTAACAAAAGTCACCTTGCCATTCCAGAAGCTAAAATAAGGAAGAAGCAAGAAACATTGTAATGGAACTGCGGATATATTTTTCCTGACAGCAATTAAACCTGTGTTACTTTGTAGCTGAAGATAGTCTGATACTACCACCTGTATTACTCTGTTCTTGAGATGGCTATTGGATTTGATGGCTTACAGACACGCTTGTGTTATCATCAGTCCCAAGGTGCTCTGCACATGCGTATCTTTTCTTCCAGCCATTGGCATTTTCAAGTGGAACTAATTAATAATCACAATAAGCATATATCCTACAAATTAAATGATCAGTATGCCTTAAACACAATTTTTTCTCTTGACAGCTTTCTGTGAAATCATTCCCTCTTTGCATGCGCCAGTTGCACAAAGCCCTACGTGATAACCATCATCTCCGTCACGGAGGTCGTATGCAATATGGACTGTTCTTAAAAGGCATCGGCCTGACTCTGGAACAGGCACTGGAATTTTGGAAGAAAGAATTTATCAGAGGAAAAGTAGATGCAGACAAGGTAATTCAACAGATGAAAAATATCTAAATATGTGAATGTGAGGATGTAGTTAATGTGTACATTGTGCTACATATTTTAATAGATGCTTGTTAAAGTAGATAATTTGGCAAAAGGCACAGTAATGTCTTTTAAAGGTGGGGGTTTTTTTTCTCTCTTTTCTTATGATTTTATTCATTTTGTTGGTCATTCTTCTGAAGAATGGGGAAAAAGGGCAAGCCACAAAGAGGCTTTTTATAGATGAGGACTAGAAAAATCTTACTTTACCCCTAAATCACTAGGAAACCAATGTCCTTTATGAAATACAGGTACTATGTGACTAAATGAATTCACCAAGCAGGTAAGTGACCACAAACAGTACTATCTGAAAGGCAAGGTTAGCCTTTTTTGTTGGTTAATTAAAAAAAAAATTAATTGGACAGCTGTGTGTGAGGTGAGCTTGCCTTAGCAAATTTACAGTCTAAGAATAAAAGAAGAAACTGGAGGTGAATAAAGATAGAAGAATATGTTCAAGGAAATAGTGAGAAAATGCTGTTCAGTGCAATGGGCAGTATTATGGACATATTAGTCATTGGCCTAATCCTTGCTAATATTTTTGAGAGTATGAGTGAGGAAAGGATAACATACATGTGCTGTCTCTCTGAGAGCATGTGTCCTGGTTTCAGCTAATTTTTAGAGGTTTGTAACCTGCTCCTTACCTTGAACAGCCTAGGTAGAATCAAGCAAGCTTCCTCTCTCACCCGTCTCTGCCTGGCCTGTGGTATGTGTTAGAGCTGATGTTTCAGACCTTATGTCAGTTTTGTTTGGATTGTGATACCTTGCATTTAATATTGTGAGATCTCAGCTTTCCAGAGTACTATGAAGTATTTTGAAGTGTTTGGTAGACAATCTTTTGTTAGCTGTCATGGTTTAACCTCAGTCGACAACTAAGCACCACGCAGCCACTCGCTCACTCCTCCCCCTCCCCCCCAAGTGGGATGGGGGAGAGAATTGGAAGAGCACAAGTGAGAAAAACTCATGGGTTGAGATAAAAACAGTTTAATAATTGAAATAAAATGATAATA